TATATATATATATATATATATATATATATATATATATATATATATATTCGATAGATTGGAAGGGTTCAGAGGCAATAATGAAAGGAAAGACATTGGAGAAGTAGTTGCTTGACTTCGATTCTTCGGTGGAGGTAGGTTATGGTTTATGCTATTTGATATTAAACTCTTAATAGTGATTGATATGCCTTGAATGATATTGTGAAGTTCTCTATGTACTTGACTGTGTGACTGTGTAATTTGGTTGTGTGGTTTGTGATTGGTCTGAAATCCTGAGACCCTAGAATTTATATTCTCTAATCCTATCTATCGAAGTGATGCTTTGAATAAAGAAGGCTTGATGAAAATAATATAACAATGAATTGAAAGCGGTGATAATAAAGGATAAATTAATAGTATAATTGGATCGGAGTGTCACGTTCTGACACGTATTCTTGGATCAGAGTGTCACGTTCTGACACAGTATTTTTGGATCGGAGTGTCATGTTCCGACACGGTATTCTTGGATCGGAGTGTCACGTTCCAACACGGTATTTTTGGATCGGAGTGTCACGTTCCGACACGGTATTCTTGGATCGGAGTGTCACGTATCGACACGATATTCTTGGATCGGAGTATCACGTTCCGACACGATATTTTTGGATCGGAGTGTCACGTTCTAACACGATAATATTAAAGGAAAAATATCTTGAATTAATGGAAGATATTCAATCTCAAAGAACTCAACTCCCAAAATGGTTTGGTTTGGAGACATGAGTCCTCATGTGTGATCTTGATACCGTTGACTTAATACGTGCTTACTTTATTGTTATTGACACTTGTTCATGTTGTTTGTTACTTAGCACATGTTAAGTGCTATATTTGAGTTCATACTATTATTCTTTGTATATTAGTTACTATTTTGGATTGACCGATGATACTTACTCAGTACATGTTGCCTCGTACTGAGTCCTACTTGTTTTCTTCTTTGTTTTCCTTTTATGAAATGCAGCGAGTGTACCTATGACTTCTGATTTCCCTCAGCTCTAACAAGCCTCCCGCATATCAAGTTATAGGGTGAGCTATCCATTCAAGCTCGTGTTGGATTCACTCTGTCACGACATGATGTCCTATACTTTCGGACACATACCATGTTATTCTTTATTTTAGTGTATTCAATATTCTTAGACTTAGTATTGGAGATTAGATGTCCTTGATGTGATGACTATCAGATTTTGGGATGATAAGTATTAAACTTTAGAAACTTATTTAAATTGGTTGCTTAATATCTTTCGGAGCTTCCGCATTATTTATATTATTTATAGTTGAACTATTGGTATATGTTGGGGTTTAGATGTGTTGGTTCGCCCACCTAAGGAGGTAAGTGTTGGTGCCATTCACGACCCATTTTAGGTCGTGACAAACTTGGTATCAGAGCGTTAGGTTCGTTGATCTCATCACACAAGTACAAGTCTAGTAGAGTCTTGTGGAATGGTAAGGGGACACCTTTACTTTTCTTCGAGAAGCTACACGACTTTAGGAAAGCTCATTTCTTTCTTTCTTTCGTGATACTACTTGAATCCAATTGGTATCTAGGTGATACAAATTTGTATCTGAACTTCTTCTCTCTATTTCAAATATGGGTACTACTAGAGTATTTGAAGTTGAAATAGCGACAACAGAAAGAAAAAAAATATGTCCTTAGAAATAGATATATTTTCTCGATCGCAAAATGTGGTGGTAGTCTCATGTCGAGTGTCGGTTAATAAAGATACTACTATGACTTCATAGAGTGAGGGTATATTAGAGAAAGTCATCGATGCTTACTTGGTTAAAGTTATTATGTGTGTTATTTTTTTTCATCGACTATACTTAAGAATGAATTTAATAATATTTTAGATCTATTCAATGGATAGAAATATGTCGGCTATTGGTGTACGATCTTCTTGGTAGGTAAGACGTGTTTTAGTGAGGCATATAACGAATTTTTAAGGTGTGGTAATAGTGTTATATGAAAATGAATACATCAATTCTCAAGTGTGAATACTAATTGCTTAAAGAGTTATTAGTGGTATGTCATGTTTAGATAATAAGATTCTGTGTTGCTTTTACATTTGAGAAATCAACTAATTTATTACTACGCGTGCTTGGATTGAGCATTATTTATTACTTATTTATTTTAGAAAATTTTAGTGGTTGATCTTTAGTACAGATATTAACACAACTTAAGCTGTGCAATGTATCTTGAGGGTTCTGAATGAGGACTGGTGATTTTATCTTAAGTTTCAAAAGGTAGATTAATACTAGCATGACAGACTTACAGGGAAAAAAATCCTAGTGGGTATACTTTGGGTGAAGTAAAATGAAGATTTTAGTAAGAAAGTGAATATAAAATTTGTTAGTCCCTTCATTTTGATTACTATATCTGAGTTTAAGGTGTCATGTCGAGGAAAAAAAAATTTGACTTTGTGGTGATGAAAAGGGCTTACAAATACATAATGGTGATAGGAGTAAGTGATGGATGGTGACGGACATGCAAATTATAGAATACAAATTATTGGTCAAATAAATTTTGTATGGTGATAAAAACTTGCGAGTATCTAAGGTTTATATTTCTACTATTTAGTGAGTAATGTGGTTGTATGATAAATTTTAGGAGATTTAGGGCACACTCGAATATAATTTAAAGGAGCTGGAATCATA